AGTTTTGGCCTCTTGGTGGCGCTGTTTGGACCTAAATGTTACATAATCTTATTGAGACCAGAGAGGAACACAAAGAAAGCCATCATGAGTCGAGGCACCACAAAGTGACAAAAATAACTCTTGACATAAATCTGTGAAATAATTTGATACACTCTGTAATTTTAATCCCACCATGATTATCAGATTAAACTAAAACAATAAAGACGTATTGATTAAAAAGACTTACATGGTTGTATATTATTATAGTGTTTCTTTTCTCTTATTATATATTTGTTCATTCTCTGGGACAAGAACACTGTTGACAATAATGCTTTAAATACTAATAAAGTCATTTTCACCTACTTTTGGCAGTAACTACTTGTGCAACTAAATAACTAACTTAAAAAAATGATTAAAATTTTAGCAGGCCTGTTACTCATTACTTTTGAATTCTGTGACAACTGCAGAATGACAAATGCAGCTGTTGTCGTCTATATGAGGACTTTACCTATCAGAAATCGTTGTCTATACTAAAGCACTTATAGAAAAAGTCTGGAAAACATTCATCATTTCCCACTGTTGAGCCTTTAGTAAATAGGCAGTTGAAAACATGGTGATTAAAAACTTTGTTCCACAATTTACCTCATCATAGTGATAATATTGATAATAAACTTGACAGCTGTCTTACACTATATCACAGGCTCAGACACTGTTGTTTTGTGTGTTAGTTTTGATGTCATAGGATTCAGACAGGCCCAKACCATGGCCTTTGCTATCGATGAGATCAACAGAAACTCCAACTTGCTGCCTAATGTGACTCTGGGATACAGTCTGTACGATAACTGCCGCAGATTAGGAATCGGATTCAGTGCAGCAATGTCTTTAGCCAACGGTCAAGAGGAGCGGGTGACTTTACACGACACATGTGTAGGAGCTCCTCCAGTCCTGGGGGTTGTGGGTGATTCTTCCTCCAGACGTTCTATTGCAATCTCCACTGTCTTAGGTTTATACAGAATGCCTATGGTGAGTTTTTATCCTTTATCATGTAATCAAAGCTTAAATAATAATGACAGATAATCAAATAATAGCACATTTTACTTATATGGTGCTCATAACAATGCTCCAAGACACTTTACATAATCAAAAAAAGAACCGTGGAAAGCAAATATAAGCAAAAAAGCTAAATATATAAGATACACATCATAATCACACTTAAGAATTAAAATATACTTTGTATCATTTTGATTAAAGTTCAGATTTAATGAAGTTGTAAACCTGGAGTAATCAATTGTATAGCGTTTACTGAACCAGTGAAGGGTTTGCATGTTTTATGGATGTACAGTTTGTTTATTTGTTTTTTTTGCAGGTGAGTTATTTTGCAACATGTTCCTGTCTGAGTGATCGGCAAAAGTTCCCCTCCTTCTTTAGGACGATCCCAAGTGATGCTTTCCAGGTGAAAACATGTCCACGAAATCAAAATGCATGAAAAAAAGCATGTGCAAGAGTATTCATTCTGTACTGAGATATTTTTTGTGTATAACCAGGAACAATATTTGTCTAGTTGGTGGTTGTATGGTGTCAGATTACAACATTTACTTACAGTAATTAAACATGGAGCCTGTTGAGCAGGAATATGTGGTGAGAGATTTTTCCAGCCTTTGCACTAACTCCTTCACTGTATGTAGGTGCGTGCTATGATTCAGCTTCTGAAACGCTTCGGCTGGACGTGGGCAGGTCTGCTCATCAGTGGCGATGACTACGGAGTCCACGCCGCCCGATCCTTCCAGTCTGACCTGGGTCCGTCTGGTGGAGGTTGTCTGGCCTACATGGAGATTCTGCCCTGGGGCGACGACCGAGCTGAGCTGAGGAGGATTGTGAACTTGATGAAGAAATCCACAGCTCGTGTGGTCATTGTGTTTGCACATGAGAGTCACATGATTAACCTCATGGAAGAGGTTGGACTGAAAATACAATTTCATAACATGACATTCTCTTTAACGTTTTCTTTTTCAAAATAAGATGTGTCGTAAATGTAATTTGTCTTGAACAAATTGATTTCAATTTTCATTTCTCTTGTGATTTGCTAAATGTGCTCCTTGGAGGGTTTTACAGTGATACTGCTTGGACAAGTTACAATGAAATTAAGAATCTACTGTGGTGGAATGACTGTGGAATTTGTATACTTGGTATTATGCAATCTACAGGTGGTGAGGCAGAATGTGACAGGCCTGCAGTGGATGGCCAGTGAAGCCTGGACATCAGCTGCTGTGCTCCACACCCCCCACCTCATGCCATATCTGGGTGGAACACTGGGCATCGCCATCCGTCTGGGAGAAATACCAGGACTCAGGGATTTTCTGTTAAAAATACGTCCTGATCCATATCACAACAACAGCTATGACAAAAGCATGGTGAGAGTTTGACCTTGCAATCTGAGCTGGTATATTTGCAGGAATAATCCAATGTCATCATTAAAAACCATCAGTTTTAAATATATTCCAGGTAAATCAGTTTTGGGAACACACATTTCAGTGTAGATTTGCGCCCCCTCCGGCAGGTTGGGTGGAGGCTGGAGGGGCGTTGTGCACTGGCCAGGAAGATCTGGAGACTGTGGAGACAGATTTTTTGGACGTTTCAAACCTCAGACCAGAGTACAATGTGTATAAGGCTGTGTATGCTCTGGCTTATGCCCTGCGTGACATGCTGCAGTGTGAGCCAGGGAGAGGACCTTTCAGTGGGCACAGCTGTGGTGACCTACACAGACTGGAGCTGTGGCAGGTGAGATATCAGTTTACACTCTGCATGTGAATGTGACTTGATCCTTTATTTAGTATTCACAGCAGAGCAGCATTTAGTTTAATTTGATATTTTTCAATAATAACAGTATTTATGTGTCCTCTTTGGTTTTCTCTTTATCCCTATAACTCTTTTATAGCTTGTATATTACTTGGAAGGCATCAACTTCACCACATCATTTGGTGATGAGGTGTCATTTGATGAGAATGGTGATGTCTTACCGATCTATGACATCATGAACTGGCAGTGGCTTCCTGGTGGAGGAACCAAAGTTGACAGAGTGGGTGAGGTTAAGAAATCAGCCTCTAAAGGTGAAGAACTCACACTTCATGACGACAAAATCTTCTGGAACTTCCAATCTAAACAGGTTATTTCTGACTTTACAGACCGTCTTAGTCCATTATATAACTCAATAACTCATTAAAGCATGGTAAGGTAATGACAGACATGATTTTTTTATCCGTACAGCCTCCACGGTCAGTATGCAGTGACAGCTGTCCTCCAGGCACCCGCATGGCCAGAAGGAAGGGGAAAGCACCATGTTGCTTTGACTGCATCCCTTGTTCTGAAGGAAAAATCAGCAATAAAACTGGTGAGTGTTGAATTTCAACTATTGCAGTTTGGACATATACATATGATATAAAAATATATCTCCACATTTTCCCTGTTCTAGACTCCATGGAGTGCACCAGCTGTCCAGAGGACTTCTGGTCGAGCCCCCAAAATGACCACTGTGTCCCAAAGAAAACAGAGTTCCTCTCCTACCATGAGCCTCTGGGTATCTGCCTGACAACCACCTCCCTGCTGGGCACGTTTATCTGTGCTGTCGTCCTGGGCATCTTCATCCATCACCGCAGCACACCTATAGTTCGAGCCAACAATTCTGAACTCAGCTTTCAGCTCCTGTTGTCACTGAAGTTCTGTTTCCTGTGCTCGCTGCTGTTCATCGGACGACCCAGAGCATGGACGTGCCAGCTGAGACACGCAGCTTTTGGCATCAGCTTTGTTCTTTGTGTGTCGTGTATCCTGGTTAAAACCATGGTGGTGCTAGCTGTGTTCAAGGCCTCCAAGCCAGGAGGGGGAGCCACTCTGAAGTGGTTTGGCTCTGTGCAGCAGAGAGGGACRGTTCTGGTCCTTACTTYTGTTCAAGCAGCAATCTGCACTGCCTGGCTTGTGTCTGCTTCACCAGCTCCTCATAAAAACACCCAGTACCACAATGACAAGATAGTGTATGAGTGCGTAGTCGGCTCCACTGTTGGTTTTGCGGTGTTGCTTGGCTACATTGGATTACTGGCTGTGCTCAGTTTCCTGTTAGCCTTTCTGGCGAGGAATCTCCCCGACAACTTCAACGAGGCCAAACTCATCACTTTCAGCATGTTGATCTTCTGTGCAGTGTGGGTGGCCTTCGTCCCCGCKTATRTCARCTCCCCAGGCAAATAYGCAGATGCAGTGGAGGTATTTGCCATCCTGGCCTCTAGTTTTGGCCTCTTGGTGGCGCTGTTTGGACCTAAATGTTACATAATCTTATTGAGACCAGAGAGGAACACAAAGAAAGCCATCATGAGTCGAGGTATTGAGTCATAGAGATTGTAATTATGTTCATTACACACACTGAGTCCATTTCTCTACACAATAAAAAGTAATAGGCTTGAATTAGGCAAATAGTAGTTGATTGAGTTGATGATCAAGGGTGAAGATCTAATGCAAAATAAATTGGATCATCTGTATAAGATCACATTCACATTGTGATGTGTGGTACTTGCACTTTAAATGGTATCACTGACTTTTATTCGTACTTTTCATGATGTCAGTTCATGAAAACCAGCTTTAACTCATTTTGTCTGATTTGAACTTTACAATCATCGACTACAGTACATGAAGCAACATAAGTGGAGATAAACTCAATGTTGATATCTTTCTTAGTGGAAATCACAGCTGCTCTGCAGATGTATGACACTATTTAAATCATTTTAATGCAAGTTAAGTGACTGTTGTAACATTTCATGTCTGGCTATGTTGTCAAGCTCATATTCCTCAAATTTAAATGTGATATGAAATCCATGTGGATAGAAATTATTGAACTGGGAGAAGTTGCAGTGATTATTGTCTTGATTATTATACATAATCGGATGTACCTTTCTCATATTCTTTCAAAACTCAAACTGATGCCGTAATGCAAGTATATGTGTGGAATTAATATTACAGACAAAAACACAACAATGGAACAGATTTTGATTTATCTTTATTTATGTAAAGAAAATACAAAAAAGTAAGAAATTACAATAAAAAATATGGATTTGTCAACAACACAAAGTATCTCATCATCTATGTAAATAAATCTGACATTATATAGTGAAATAAAATGGATCCTTAAGTAACGTGCAGACAACACAAATTTGTCTTTCTAACATTTTAGGATACAATGTGTCACATTTTAGGACAAATAGAAAGAACTGATAATGAAATTCATAAAGAAATAAAATTACTGCATGACTCACAATGGGTGTTTTATTATTATACTTTTCATAAGTCACCACATGCATTTTTAATTTTCTTCACTACTTGGCCATCAGCTGTTTCTTAGTGTTTTTCTCGGGCCTCAAAAGAATAATGAAACACTTTGGAGCAAAGATACAGAACAGCAAACCATAGCTGGAGGCAAGAATTGCAAAAATCTCCACGGCAACTGCATATTTTCCAGGAGAACTGACATAAGCAGGAATGAACGCCACCCAGACGGCGCAGAAGATCAGCATGCTGAAGGTGATCAGTTTGGCCTCATTGAAGTTGTCGGGGAGTTTCCGAGCAAGAAAGGCCAAGAGGAGGCAGGAGCAGGCCAGCAGGCCGATGTAGCCGAGGACCAGAGAGAAGCCTGCCACAGAGGCCATGGCACACTTCAGTGTGACCTTCAACCCCGGAATATCAAAGTCAGGTTTAGGCGATGGGGGGCTGAGCGATAGCCAAACAACACAGATGATAACCTTGTTGAAAAAAGCATTGCAGAAAAACAAGTTTAAGAAGGGGAAATGCTAATGAGTCATAATTTTATTATTAAAAAAGCCATATCCAAATCTGACCTGTATACAGGTGAAAACGCAGACACTTCCTCTCTGTTGGCCCGGACCAAACCACTTCATCAGGGCCTTAGCACCGGGCCTAGCCGAGCGAAACGCTGCGAGGACCACTATGGTTTTGACTTGGAGGCAGGAAACACAAAGCACAAAGCTGATCCCAAAAGCCGCCTGCTGGAAGCGACAGGCCCAGACCGACGGACGACCGATGAACACCAGCGAGCACAGGAAGCAAAGCTTCAGAGACAGAAGCAGCAGGAAGCTCAGCTCTGAGTTGTTTGCTCGCACCTTCAAAGAAGAATCAGATTTGAACTGATATTAAAGGTTGATTAATTAACAATTAATTTTTTGATCATAATGATTGTTTTTTGTACTTTATAGTCTATTGATATATTAGACTGTATACTGACCACAGGTGTTTGACGATAGCATAGGAACACCACAAACACTGCTGTTGTCACCACGACACCAGATATAGCGACTGTCGTCAGGGTAATACCCAAAGTTTCATTAAAGGAGAGGAAGTCCAGCTGGCGAGGGACGCAGGCCGTTCGTTCAGAGTTTGACCAGAACTCAGGCGGACAATGAACACAGTGAGGGGAACCTGGCAGAGGAACGTCGACAGAAAATGACTGAATAATTGGAGTATTGAAAGCATATTGGTGCAGACTGAATAACATTTTATTGTAAAGTCATATGCGGTTATTTCCTCACCAGTTGTATTGCTAATCTCCCCGTCAGCACATGGGATGCAGTCAAAGCAGCAGATAGGTTCTCCTTTCCTGGTGGCCATCCTGGTCCCTAGGGGGCAGCTCTCACTGCACACTGACACAGGCACCTGAACCGAAAATAAAAACAGTAAACATTTAACTCAGTAAATGTTTTTACAGAATCGAGATCTTTCCTTTTTAGCCACCTGATTGGAACCTGTGCTCCACTGAATGGCTGACTTGTTAAGGTGGAGGTCAAATCCATCCACTCGACCAATCAGAACAAGCTTGAGTTGGCCTTCGGAGGTTTTCTGCCAGTTTACGAGGTCGTACTTCGCTGGAACGTCGGCCCCTTGGAAGTAAAACATTTCACCCTGAGGTGTGGTGAAGTTCACTTTGCTCAAGCTCTGCAGAACCTGGACACATCAAAATGTTGAAACAGTGAAACATTTTCTTAAAGATCACAATACTAGTGCAGTACAAAACATTTTTGACAGATATCAACACCCAAGTAAATTGCTATCAACACGAAACTGAAATAACTGTGTTTACCTCGATGGGTTGGACGTGTTTTGGAAAGGAGCAGGTGGAGCTGCTGTTTCCAGGAGAGCTGTCATTGTTGGGGCATGAGAGGAGGCTGTGGAGGGCATGGGCTGCAGCGTAAGCAGCAAGGTACACATTATATGTCACCCTCAGCTGAGAGGTGTCAGTAAAGAGATTGTGCACCACCTCCAAGGACTCTGTGCCACTGCAGAGCGGCAGAGACGCCATCTGGCCTGCACGAGATGGTGAAGTGGTAGATGAAGAAAAATTGGTGGATCCAGCACGACAATTAAACATTTCCTCCCAAAATTCTCTCAAGAACTTATCATCAGGACGATGAGATGGGTTCAGATTTCTGAGATAATATTCAAATCCAGGAATGGGTGAACTCCTAATGGCCACGCCGAGGACGCCACGTGCCACTTTAAGGGTGGAAGGGTTTTCGAGAAGATTAACACTCGTGCTCCAAGCCTCGCTGGCCAGAAACTGTCTATCAGTCACCTGGTGATGAAAGTACGATAAAAAATATCATTTAAGAAGACACATTATATTAAATAAGTCCTTTTTCAGATTTAATATACAAAATTGTGTCTCACATTTCTCTCGGCCAGCTGCAGGAACAGTTCCCTCACATCTGTGTACCAGGTGAAGATCAGAATCACTTTTGCGGTCGAGGCCTGAATTGCGAGCGCTGCCTGTTTGGCATCGCTCTTAATGTTCTCCCTTCGGAGAGTCTCCACAAACGCCAGACATACGCCGGACCCCTGAGTCTCCTCCTGAAATATCTGATGCACACAGTTGATTTGTATGTTTAGATAGTATATTGAAGATTTCTTGTGCAGATGCCGTAATATTTTTAGTACATAAGAAGTGGAAACACCTTTATTGCCGTTAGGCCATAACTGTTTTTTGCGACCACTGCTCCGATCCAAGACCAGTTCATACTTATTGCAAGCTGGGCGATGGCTCGAGCTTGGTAAATATCACTTGGCATCGTCCTAAAGAAGTTGGGAAATTGGCGTGTGTCACTCAGACAGGGGCAGCTCGCTGTGTAGCTCATCTTACAGACAAAAAAACACATGTCATTATAATAAAAGTGCTTTACATCAACAGAATGACTTTAGCTGAGAAACAGAACATGAAGACAGGAAAAGATAATAAACATGTATAAAAATGGGTTAAAGCAGTATTAAGTTTACAGTAAAATAAAACACATTAATTAAAAAGTTTTGTTAATTCTTTAAACGTGTCAATAGTGGATGGAATCCTTATATGTTCCAAACCTTTGGGTGCTTGATCAGAAAGCTGCCTCACATTTATATGCTAAAGTCTCATGCACAACAAAAAAGACAGTAATTTATTTTCACCAAGATATATATATATATATATATATATATATATATATATATATATATTTGTGTGTGTGTGTGTTTATGCACCAAATTTAATACACTTGTATAAAATATAAATAATATGTCTAATATGGTAAATGTTGAACTACAAAATATTTCATGAATTTAAATTTTGGTATATCTTTCTTTTTTTTCATCTATATTCAATATAAAGAACTCACTAAAGGAACAGAGAGTGGCCCCAGGACTCTGGAGAGTATTTTGGCCGTTATAGATGAATCGCCACCGATGATCAATGGAACAGGCTGATCACCTGATGACATTGTAATATAGTAGAATAAGATCATTAGTTAAATGAAGTTTGGGCTTAGTACAGTAGATACTCTCATTTGTATTTACTAGAGGAGGATGCACATTGGGTAAATACAAAGTGACATTTAGTACCTCTCCTTTCTCCAGTTCCTTCAGCTAAATTACAGCTGCTGCTGTCTCCTCCAACCAGAGACAGTGCTGTCCGCAAAGCCCACAGGGGCAGAGCACAGCTATCGTGAATGTGGTAGCCTAGCTTCACGCCTGGAAGCAGCGTTGTGCTGTGGTTGATTTCTTCCAGCGCAAACACCATCGCATATATGTACTGCAGTGGAAGAGCCTCCAATCTGAGAGCCAGAGAGAGAAAGAATGAGAATATCAGTCAAAATGAGGCATCTGTAATAATGATGTGTAAAGTCAGCCAACAAATAAGCAATTATAACATATTTTTTTTAAATAACTTGTTTATATCATTGTTAAAGAACCACTTATATTGAACTTTATATGAATATGGCTAATAATAACAAAATTCACAGAGAAAAAGCGCTTCAGAGTTTCACCTGCTGCAGGATTGGTAACGTGGCTGCTGAGTGAAGTCTTGGTCTATGGCTGGAGGCTTGTTATAAAGACTGAACAGCCCACCGATGATTAGATCTCCGTCCTGGAACAGACCCTGGATGCTTGATGAACCCCACCGAGAACAAGTCATTGTCTCAACCACCTGCCACCCCACCCGGAGACCCAGCTGTCTGCCCACCAGCCCCACGAGGAGCATGGACAGGGCTGAGCAAGGCCTCAGCATGAAGAGCCAGGAGAGCCAAGACATAGATGCAATGATTCTCTACACTTGAAAGATGCCAAATATATCAGTTAGATAACTTCTCATTAGCACAAAATACATAAATAAGATGTGCAGAGAATATAAAATCAATACATTTGAACAGCTCCTGGAATGAAAAGGTCAAATGTGATTAAACCCCTCTCAATGTGACATAATAAAAGATAATATGTTCACCTATGAAATAATTCTAATGACAAAATGTATATTATAACAGATACAACTTGACCTGACGACTGACAAGGTGTATAGCCCCCTCTGCTCTGCTCACCATAGACGTTGTTCTGGGTATTTATACCATCCACAGAGCCCATGGTGGAAACAGGATGATACTGCACCGGCAAATCACTTCTCTGGAAGGTGAGGGCAAAACAATGATATAATGACTGGGTGTGGACACAGTGTGATACAGACATGAGGGGGTTTAGCTAGAGGGCAGCGACCTCAGATGTCCCAGCAGAGTTACATCTCTATCTTTATCAAACAATTTGTTTATGAAATAATCCACAGAGGGCCACATCTTTCACATCAGGGCCCTTTGCCGCTGCTTAACCACATTGTTGTTTTAGTAAGGGTTCAGTATGAGTATAGGTGTTGTTTTTGAAAAGAAAATTAAGGACTGAGACGGCATGGGGATGCAGCCTCAAAGCAGAAAGGTTCCCGGTTTGAGTCCCAGTTAAGCCAGGGTCTCATTTTGTGGAGTTCATTGTGTGGAGTACTCCGGCTTCCTCCCACAGTTCAGAGACATGCAGACTGGGGTTAAACTAATTTCAATTTTAGATTGACTGTAAATTGACAGGTCACTAATCCACTGGCAACCTGATATATAAATGGTCCATACCTCCATAGTAGACGACCTGCTCTATCTCCTAAGAGCGGGGGGGGGTAAAAGGTCTAGAGAATTATGTGGAACAAAAGGATATTAAACCGATGCTCAATTGTCTTTCTTCCTCCCAACAGGTATGTCATTTGTTCATTATCATTGAATGCAGGATGCAGTACGACATAAACAACAAAAGATACACACAGCAACAAAGATGCATCACCTCATCACTATTCATCTTACAGCTCTGAAAATTCAATCAAAATCAAGGTAGGGTTTTAATTAAATTATGCAAAAGATTAAAAAATACAACTTATATATAAAATTAAACTATGCAAATAAAAACATTTGCCATCTGTCATCATCCTTCTGATTTTTGTGGCCCCTACATGACCCCTGAGGTGTTACTGACAGACTAGTGACAGCATCCATTGCAACAGTTCAATTTAAGGCTCCACTGTAAAAACTGAGACATGTGCATGTAGGTGGTTTTTAGTAAACCCCCACAAATCAATGCTTCAACCTCCTCTGGGGATAATGAGTGTCAGATATCTCTGGCTGAAAATGCTGTAGATCATTACTTCACTTTGCAGGCCCAATTAGAAAATCTAAACTATGCTGGAGCTGATCAATACAGTTTACCCTTTGGTACAAATTGAGTTCTGTGGCCAGTGACAAAAACATTTCAGGTAAAGTAACTCTGTGGGTTTGGCCTTGAGAATCCATTTCAGTTCTTGCATAGATATAGACATGTTTCTGTTGCTCACATCTATGTTAATAACACTGGAGATGCCAAGTCCCACTCAAAGCTTTATTGTGTTATACTTGACAATAAAAGGGCCAATAAATATTCTTAATAAATGAGATTTTCTCTGTACAATCGCAGAGCAACAGTGACACACTGTGGTCCGCAGTGTCATATAACGTCTTACTAAACCTTCCTAACAGTTTTTTTTTCTGCAATGCATTTAATTCTATCCTTTACTAAGTTTTCTAAACATATTCAAAATTACGATATTTTTACAACTAATAAACACAACTTTTACATAATTCATTTCTCCATATTTTCTTTTCTGTAACTGCATATTTACCCATATTCAAACTTTGTAATCTTATTAATGCACAGACTAATTTATGTAATATCCATTAGGAAGGAGATAAACCTTTAGATATTTGGTTCCAGAACAGAACATCGTTCATATTAACGTCTCTATGTGTGAGACAAAAGAAACATGGTTCATGTATTGGAGTGCAATTACAAGCAGAGAAAGACTTAGACTGTGCAATGCTCCCATCTAGCGGTCATAATTGGGTACATGTATATTGAACTTAATGATAGCAGCAGGCAGAGTGAAGAGTAGTGAATTTAAATATATCTCTGCTGATTTAAAAAATCCTAAACTTATTTTTATATCCAAATCAACTATGATGATGAGTCATTCACAGGTGGCTGTTTTAGAATTATATGTATACTTGTCACAACTATCTAAAGACATTTGGTCCTGATCCATTGACAAAGTGCACAATCTGTATCATTTACTTTGAGTGAATGCACGGATATAGTGTGTAAAACATTATAATAAGACTCATGATCTTGTAATAATGAAGAACTTATTCTGCTTTCTGGGGTTTTGAGTTTCATTCATTTTAAGTTCAGTATTAAAACACAGCACAGAGAGTTGATAAATATTTTAATTAGAAGCATTGCATTTAAATTCGATGTATATTGGATGTCATTACAGTATTTTTTTATGTCTTAGAACAGTAGTTACTAATCATCCACAAATCTATCTGGCCATCAGGTGTTTCTTAGTGTTTTTCTCAGGCTTCAAGAGAATAATGAAACATTTCGGGGCAAAAATGCAGAGCAGCAAACCATAGCTGGAGGCAAGAATGGCAAAAATCTCCACTGCGACAACGTACTTCCCAGGAGAGCTAATGTAGGCGGGGACGAACGCGATCCAGACGGCGCAGAAGATCAGCATGCTGAAGGTGATCAGTTTGGCCTCGTTGAAGTTGTCGGGGAGTTTCCGAGCGAGAAAGGCCAAGAGGAGGCAGGAGCAGGCCAGCAGGCCGATGTAGCCGAGGACCAGAGAGAAGCCCACCACAGAGGCCATGGCACACCTTAGCGTGACCTTTGACCCTCGGAGACCGAAATCTTGTTGAGGCACGGGGGGGCTGAGGGACAGCCATATGGCACAGATGATAACCTGTATGAGTAGCAAATATTTTTTATTTAGCACATAGTTACTCATAGATATAAAACAATGTGTGATGGGGTTTTTAGCAAATAAAATATTAATTTTGGCATCATGACTCTACAGGACTTGTAAGCATTTTATTTCAAACTATATATTTTATTCTTGTAAGCTAATTGTTATAAATTATAATTTCTATTGTTAATTGATTAAACATCATCATTTCATCAATAAAACATTAGTATACAGCACACCTGTATACAGGTGAAGAGGCAGACACTTCCTCTCTGTTGGCACGGACCAAACCACTTCAAGGATTTAGCGCCGGGCCGAGCTGAACGGAAAACAGCCAGAACCACGATGGTTTTTACCAGCAGGCAGGAAACACAAAGCACGAAGCTGATCCCAAAAGCCGCCTGCTGGAAGCGACAGGCCCAGACTGACGGACGACCGATGAACACCAGCGAGCACAGGAAGCAGAGCTTCAGAGACAGAAGCAGCAGGAAGCTCAGCTCTGAGTTGTTTGCACGTACCTACAGGAGAATCACATGAATGGTTGATGGAGGAAAGAAAAGTGAAAATGCAGACACTAAACTCTGGGTTATTCTTACCATGGGTGTTTGATGGTAGTAAACAAAAACCACAAAGACTGCTGCTGTCACCGTGGCACCACACACTGCTGCTGTCGTCAGGGTAATGCCCAAAGTTTCATTAAAGGACAGGAAGTCAAGCTGGCGAGGGATGCAGGCTGTTCGTTCAGTATTGGACCAGTACTCAGACGGACAAGGAACACAGTGAGAGGAACCTGGCAGAGGGAGACAGAAAAAAATAAAACTCAAAACAGGGAGTAAAGGATAAAAACATGAGCTGTGTTATGTAGTAAATTCAACACCAGTTGTATTGCTAATCTCTCCTTCAGCACATTGGATACAGTCAAAGCAGCAGACAGGTTCTCCTTTCCTGATGGCCAGTCGGGTGCCTGGAGGACAGCTCTCACTACACACTGACACAGGCACCTACACAAAACATCAGTGATGAGTTCACAACAGCATTCATTCCAACAGCAAATATTTAATTTGAATTTCTTTCAAATTAATTACCTGATTGGATCCTGTGCTCCACTGAATGGCTGATTCGTTAAGGTGGAGATCAAACCCGTCCACATGACCAATCAGAACAAGCTTCAGTGGCCCCTCTGGAGTTTTCTGCCAGTTGACCAGATCATACTTTGCCGGAGTGTCGGCTCCTTCGAAATAAAACATTTCACCTTGTGGCGTAGTGAAGTTCACTTTGTTCAAGTGCTGCAGCAGCTGGAAGTAAAAATATGTGTGTACTACATCAGATACATATATACACAGAAATCTGCAAAAAAATATTTTAAATCCATTCTCTGATATAGTTGAAAGGAGTATAACAAAATAAAATCCTGAATCTGACCCATGAATCAGATCTGCACAAATATTTAATGGGTTCTTCCCCGATCCACATGTTTCCTGGTAATTCATCTACTCATGCTAAAAAACAGACAGACAAAAGTAGATACAAACTGCTCCTTTTCTACCTTTATCGGTTTGATGTGATCTGGAGAGGAGCATGTAGAGATGGAGCAGGAGAGGAGGCTGTGGAGGGCGTGGGCTGCAGCATACACAGCCAGGTAGACATTATAAGCCCCTCTCAGCTGAGAGGTGTCAGTGAAGGGATGCTGCAGTCCCTCCAGAGACTCTGTGCCACTGCAGGGGGGCAGAGAAGCTCTCTGAACAGACTCCTTGGCAAGAGATGAAGTAGAGCCATTCGATAGACTGTGAGATGAAGAGGAATATGAAAACCATGCTGCTTCCCCTGCACTGCATCCAAACTCCTTTTCCCAGAAGTCTCTTAAGAATCCATCATGCGGACGATGAACTGGGTGCAAATTCCTGAGATATTTTTCAAACCCAGGTATCGTTGAACTTCGAATAGCCACGCCAAGAACGCCACTGGCCACCTTTGAGACGGCCGGGTCCTGGAGGAGATCATCACTGGTGCTCCAGGCCTCACTGGCCAGAAACTGTCGGTCAGTCACCTACAGGAGGAATGCAACTCTTCAAATTCACACACTCAAATAATAAAGTCATAAACATTTCCAGGCCAGTAACTCACATTTCTTTCATTTAGCTCCAGAAACAGCCTCTTCACGTCAGTGTACCAGCAGAAGATGAGAATCACCTTCGCAGAGGAAGCTTGAATTGTGAGCGCTGCACGTCTGGCATCTCTCACAATAGTCTCTCTGTGGACGGTCTCTATGAACTCCAGACACACCCCCTTCCCCTGAATCTCCTCCTGAAATACCTGAAACAATGACAACCAATAAATGTATGCTACTTGTATATTTAAATTCAATATATCACAGTATAATAACCTGCATTGCCAATCGACCATAGTCGGTGTTTGCATGTACAGCCCCAACCCACGTCCAGTGGAAGCGTATGGCCAGTCGTGCGATGGCCCTGGCCTGGTAGATGTCACTGGGGATCGTTCTGAAGAAGTTAGGAAACTTGAGCCGGTCGCTCAGACAGGGGCAGGTGGCCAGGTAACTGATCTGAGGTAAAGAAACAGCGATACAGCAATTTTCACAACAACATTTTTTAATTTAAAATCACAATTTAAACTCAAAGCAACTGTATTAAGAGACTCATGAATGAAACTCACAATTGGTATAGAGAGAGGCCCCAGGACTCTGGACAGTATTATGCCTGTTGTGGACGAGGAAGCCCCAATCAGCAGAGGAACAGGCTGCCCACCTGAAGATAAGAGAAGATAAGACTGCACTTTATCATCAGACTGTTTGTCTCTCGTCCCAAAACGTGCACTGTTTCACATAAATGACAACACAAAGAAAATATAACCAAAGAACAAAGAAAATACACATTCACAAACATTGTGAATAAGTGGCTGTTGGTTGATTTTTTCATATTTGATGGAACTATTTGACAGACTGAGGATCCCAGAGTTTAACAGTCCATTTGTTCCTGTTACAAAAGCAACAGATGAACTGTTCCATGACATAAAATAATCTATGAGACCAGTTGTTGTTTTCATGGACAAATCAAATGTTAAAATCATATGGAGTCACATCAAGTCATACTTGTGTCTCCAGGTTTTTTACGCGATGCAGAGTGTGGCGTAGATGCTGTTGAGTTGCAGCTACGTGTGTTTCCTCCGACCAGTGACAGTGCATCTTGCAGAGCCCACGGGTATCGGCTGCAGCTGTCCACTAAACTGTAGCCCAGCTTGACTCCTGGCAGCAGGGAGCTGTTCCCATTGATTTCATCCACCGCAAACTCCAAAGCATACATGTATTTCAATGGCTCCACATCTAAACTGAGAGCACAGGAGAAGAAAGGAGGAGAGAATCAGAACAACTGCAATGTCAGTCAGTGAAATGTAAAGTGTCACATACAACAACACCTACAGGTATTTAAATAATCATGTCATAATCATAATTACAGTAAAAGTACAGTACATGTGATTACCCAGTGCATGGGTCGTAATGCGGCTGCTTGATGAAGTCCTGCTGTACAGCTGAAGGTATGTAATACAGATTAAAAAGTCCACCAAGGATCACGTCTCCATCCTGAGACAGGATCTTGTTGTTCAGCGCACCCCACCTGGTGCACGCCGTCGCCTGAGCCCCCTCCAGACCACCCATCTGTCTGCCCACTGCACTGAGGAGCAGCAGTGACAGAGCTGAGGTGGGCCAACGTGTGAGGAGCCGGGGAAACCAGGACATGGAAGCAGCTGTTCTGGGCATTTAAAACATTCGGGTAAATGTAATCTGACAAAGACAGAATATACATCAACCAGAGGTGCGATCAATTCAAACACAATTTACCCGACTGGTCCGACCAGGAAATAGATTGCATTCAACTCAGAAAAATGCAGGTACCTCAAAGACAATGTTCAACAAAGACGAATCCCATAAAAATTGCATATGTCCAAATGCAAAAAAATAATATTATGCCTGTAACCTGCAAAGAGAAAGCACATCAGCGTTGGTATAAAAATGTTTCGCTTCAAAAATCTAAATACAGAAAATGGTATCTTGAGAGAAACATACCTCCCTCCCTGCACAGGTGAAGTGTTGATATGAGTATTTATAATCGTTGTGGAGCCTTTTCCATGGAAGTGAAACAGATGACACAAGCAGCACAACACAAAATTGTTCCTCTCTAGAGTGAGGGTGGAAAAACAAATCATTGCTAGCAAGTGATTATGGAGGGTGTGAGTGTGTACGTGTTCTAAACTGTCAAAAACAACTTGAGAGAGAGGATGAAAGTTTCTAATTGAAATTATCCAAGCAAGAAACTTCAGTGAAGGAAAACAGATAAAGTAACAGGTCCTTTCTTGTCCTTTCCCTGCTATTTGTATTCTATGCAAATTAATCAGGCATTTAAAGAAAGGTTAATTCAGTCAAAAATATCTGAAGCTGACATCATTATAATTATATTTTATTATTAATTTAGCTTCTTCCAACTTATTGTAATTCAAAATGTATGCTCTGAATGTCCTGAAACATGATCTGCCACTTCTGGAGAGTCAACCTTGTAAGATGCAGTAAAATGTGAATTGCGTTTTAGCCTAAATTTTGAAATTATTGGCAACCTTACTTTTACCAATGTAGTAAAACAATAAAAATACTGGAGCTTAAATTTGAGAATCATGTGGTCTCAGAAAAAAATCTTGTGAATTCCTTATTTAGTTGTGTATGTTGAGGAATAATATCAATAATAACTAAGGAAAAAGTTTGTATATATCAAACACACACCATACTATACTGTGTACAGCCTTTCTTTGCTCTCAGCCTCAGGTCTTCATGGTCCCAGGATGTTGGAAACTTTCTTTTGAGATTCTGGTCCATGTTGAGATGGATCTCAAAACTTCTGCAGATCTGTCAGCAGCACACTGACCACTACACAGTGCCTCCTCAGGTTTTCCGTTTGTGACTGACAGCAGTAGAACTCACCTCTGCCTCAGGGTTTAACATGTTGAGCTTTCTGAGATACTTCTCTGCTCACCACAGTTGTTTCACTGGGAAAACTGTGCCCTTTGCTTTTGTAAGGTCTCTGTCCTTATTGGAAATTAATGTATTATATTTAAAGATTTATGGACAATGTACGAAAAAAGATTCTGAAATAAAACCATGTTTGGTTCCCACCTAAAATGTTAAAAGTGGTGAGTGAGGTTGCAAAAGCAAGAGAGATCCACTGGAGCCTGTTATTCATAACACTTATTAGTTATTGTAGAATGTTCGTTCTTTAAACAGTAGTGATCTGGCGGTTTCTTTCTGGAAGTTTTTTGGCTTTTTTGTTATTTTTAAATTTTAGTTAAATGAGGTGTAGGGGGGATGTTTTTCCGAGGATTTCTGAAAACAAATGTTTCAATGTTTTCTTGCCACGCACCCTCTCCTTCCATGCAGGAAGTAGTTAAAACCAACAAGGGCCTTCAGGTAAATATGTAGAGTCCGTCAATGGAGCCACTGTTTGGTTTGTCCGTCCTGGGCTCCTGTAGAAACATTGCTGACACAACGGAAGAAAACCTGCTCCCAATGTTGATTTTAAGGTAACGGAAACAACGATCCTTAATCGATTCCCCTAAATCATACACCCTGGACTTTTATCATTATATTATAGGAACGCACTGTTAGAAAAAAAAACTCAGACAGTGGAGAAAGAGAAAGTTAGGGCCAAGACTGAATTGTCCACTGTAGCTTCAGCCATCATTCAGTTTAGGAGTCGGGTTATGAGTGTATGTATATGATAACAAAGAGAAACGTTACCCATGCATAATGGAGTAAATCCGGTAGTGTCCACATCTGGATATTTGAATGACATCAAGTGACTGAGCTAACTCAGGGCAAGGAAGGGCAAAGCTTTGTAAGGACACTGAGGATGGAAGTGGTCCTTGTTAATCTCTCTAAGGAATATTTTACTATTATTTATCCATATGACTTAACAAAGTGTGGCAGCAGGTTGGAATGGGGAATTTAATGCCCAGAGCAACAGGTGTGCTGTTTGTCAGCTCTATTACACAGTAATTTCATGAGCAATTACATCCCATTATGTTTAAGGCACTGAGGCTGTTTGTGACCTAATAATAAATAGATTTTGAGCTTGAGCATCATTTTTGTTTCATTACGTTATTTACGGTTTTGAGTAAAACAGGAAATGAACATGTGTTTTTTTGAAATCAAACATTTCAATAGTTTATTGCATCTGTAGGAAAATGCTCACAGTCCTCCAATGAGCAACGATACAAAGAAAAGAAGAATGCTGTAACACTGAAAGATAATAAAAAAGAAATAAACTGCAGCTCCGCCACCCTCCCCTCCTCAGTCTGGTCTTCACTCTGTTTTTTTCCATTTCATTAAGTTATACAAAATAAAACCACAACAACAGAACCAACATGAGATTCTTTTTGCTGTCTGTATCAAAGTAATTATAAAAATAAAAACCTTTAAACTCCAAATCTTTAAAACTTTGCAATCATGTCTTGAAATTCTACAGATCAAAGAGAGCAACAAGTCCAAGCGTGGAAGTGTTTATGTACTGTATTGCACCCATTACAAACAAGCCTGTGTCCTCGGTTGTGTTCAACGCAACTATTTGTTCTGTGCAAATGTTGAGCGATGAAACATCTATTGTATAAACTGGTGCATAGTCATGCTTGACATGTTCACAAGTAACATGCACAAACATAAATGTACAGTTAGACTTGACTAAAATCCACCGCGGATTAGAAACAATGACAGGAATATTCATACGACACAAATAAAGAAAATACCACTGAAACAGAAGGAAGACTTACATAAATTTTTTGAAAAGATGAATCCCATCTATTAAAACTAGCTGTTCGATTATACTACACATTCAAATGATACAAGGAAAGACATTCCCTCTCTGCTGAAAACCCAATCCTTTTTTTTGCTTTGTAGTCAGTGTACGCAGTTTGGACAGTACATCACAGGGACGAAGTAACAAGTATCTGTACAATCAGTCTAGGAAGCCATTTGGAGGGAATCAAAGTTCCCAGGTACATTTACACATTAAGTATAATATAGACAATACACTCCCAGACTAGAAAGACCATTCACTATTGAATAGTGGACATTTCATACACAAAGTTCATGCTGTCAGATCCAACCATGGATTATATGAGATGATTCATTGATATTGTACAGGCAATCTCTGCTCTGTGAACATGGGAACACATAATGGCGAGCATGTATTTTCCTTCATCCTCTGGCTTTTGGTGTAACTGAACATCATCAAAAAAATCAGTGCTCGATTCTTAATCTCATTTTATGTTAAGATCAGAGCTACAGTCTGAGTAGAAAGTAGACCTCGGGCTCTGACGCAGAGTGTGAGGAGTTTGCATTTGGAAGAGAGTCATCTGTGTGGTACCGATCTCCATAATGATCCCCATTTCCATAACGTAATGATGTGCAAGCACCCTCGGGAAGTCCCCTGTCCTCCAGCTGATCAAGGTAGCCAACTATGTAAGAACCAGTGGAGTGTCTGTTAGCTGGTGGATTCTGTGAGGCTGGTTTATTCCTAAACACCACCCCACCAATGCTAGTGGTACTATTGATTACCACACCTGGCCGAGGCTTGAGAGACTCTTGCTGTCTTTCACGTGCACGGTTGTTGATGTGACGCACTCTGCTCTGGCTCCGAGAAGATAGGCGACGGGTAAGGGGTGGAGGGGAGTCATCTGTGTCCCTGGGAACCACAGGAGCTATACTTGTTGACTGGGGCTGTGGGGGTACTGACTGGGATTGGGATTTTGCTTCATAATGCTGCTGAGGAGACTGGGGCCTCTCCCTGTCACTGTCATCTGCCTCCAAACTGACCAGCTTACGTAGCTGCTCCGTGAGTGGATCACTCGACTGCAATTGGAAAGTTGCGTCCCCCATGGTGCCCATTCTCCTCTGCTTCCTCATGTGTGGAGTGATGAAACTGCGACTAATAATGTGATATTTGCTCTGGAAGTTGCATGATATGTCCTCCGAGGTCAGGTCTCCCAAAGACTTGGACTTACATTGGCTGGGGGCTGTGGAGTCAATGGGAACAGACTGGGAACGAGTTGATAAAAGCCTTGAATTTGAAACTCTGGTTTCAGGCTGCGATTGGTAACTGTTCACAGTAACATTTTGTTTCCATGACTGCAGAGTGTGTGGTTGTGTTTGACTTTGACTGTGTGGCTGAGAGTTCTGAGGAGCTGAGGACTCTGATGAGGGCGTGATGGAGTCATACTCCAGGTGGCTGTATATTGCATTGCAATCTGAAGAAGGAGTAGGTAGTCCTCTGTCTCTACAGATGTTTGTGGACACAGCAGATTGGCCATGCAGGCTTTCAGATGAGGAGAAACCATTCTGGAAACCCCTCATTTGCTCCCTCTCCATCTGGTTGTAGCCTGGACTGTTTTGCTGAGGCCTGTTTAGGAGCTGGCTGCCACTGTAGCTCCTCTGTTGTTTGTAGGAACTAAAGTCTCTGCTGTTGTTAGGGGCTGAAGAATTGCCCTGAGGAATGGAGTAGCCATTCTGACACTGCTGACTAGGGTTGGAGGGTCTGGAGTTGACAGGTCTGTGGAAAGTTAAAGGCTGGGAGTTGTTCTGGTGTCGGTGATGATCGGATAACTGATACGAAGGTCGATTGATTGGGGAGGGAGCGTGTGTAAATGCTCCATGAGGTGGATATGAGGGATACTGTAGTTGAGGATCAGAATATGACGAAGGCTGTTTTTGTTGGGAGTAGTTGGGAATGGACTCGTGGTTTTGGTAGATAGCATGGCGTTTGGTTGGACTCATGAGCCCCTCCCATTGGCTGCCATGTCTAGGTGAAGTCAGCTTTATATCCAGTGGATCTTCATCGACATTAATTTCTACTTCCGCAAAAGTATTTCTTGCTGTGTCACGATGAATCTGGAAAGAGTCGTTAACAGGAGTGCTCATGTACCTTTGGGAAGTATCCCGTTCTATACCAGGTACAGGGAGATCATTCACTTCCTCGTATATTCTCTCCTCTGACTCCTCAGTGTCGTCACATCCATTCTGTTTCCTGTGCATATCCTCCCAACCCACATTGTGCCCTTTCCCCAACCCCTGAACCACTTTTACCGGAGAGGTCCCCAAGCTATTTAAAGACGTGTTCACCACAGTGTCTGCCTGAAAACGGACCGTCTGTTTCCTCAGGTTGTGCACTGATACAGGCAAAAGTACCTCCTCGTCCAGAATGGTGTACACCTCCTCGAGCTCAGCGGTTTCTGGGCTGGAGAAGAGGACTGGAGTAGATGTATTTGTCTGAGTCGATGAAAGTATTTGGTGGTTTACATGATTTGTTTTTTGAGCTGCTTGATGGGTACTTGTCAGATGTTTCTTGTTAAGAGAGGCTGTGGTAGTCTTTAGAGGAGGCCTTAAATCTTGCAGCGCTTTTGGGGTGGTAGGCCTGAAGTTTGAGTGACGGGAAGGAGTGTGATCATGGGATAATGTTGTGAAATCGTTTTGGTCAACGGTGCTTTCAAATTGACCTATCAGAGCAGAAATAGAGCCGCAAGTGTCTTGCTCATTGCCCAAGGACACAGCATCAATGAGTCTGGAGATGCTGTCATGCAAAGAGGTAGGACTCTTTAGATCACAGTCCATACCAACAGGAGAAAGAGGGGCCATAGAGGACGGGGCAGAGGAGGAGGATGAGGAGACTGAAGGTGCAACAGTGAATGTTGTGCTGTTTGATGATGTTTCTAGTCCCATCTTGTTGTTCGTGGAAGATGAGACCAAACAGTTTTTCTCTGTTCCTGCGGAGAAGGTCTTTGATTTGTTGATTTCATTGTCTTCTGATGGGTAATTGACATAGTCATCTTCCTTTCTTACGTCTCCTCCACCAATAACCAGATAAGAGGCCTCTGCTGATTGGTCGAATCCTTTATTTCTGTACATCTTGGAAGGGGATGCGATGCTTGGTTCGAAAGAAAGCGATGATTCGATGAGGTTGACAGAGGACGACCTGGGCCTGTTAAGGAGACAAGCTCCTGTGGACACATAAAGAAAAGATTAATAAAGACAGGTTTAGATACTACCATTTGAATGTTGAACACCAAGCAAACCAATGATTAAATTACAACAACTAACAGTCCAGCCACAAGGCAATCGCAATACACAGACAGATGGATCACCAAATACAACTGTGAAGGGGAAGCTGGAAATGAGGCTGTGGAGGTTAAACAAAAGGAATAATCCACGCTTGCGAACATCAGATTAGGAAAAAGATGGTCGAATGGGATTGGTTTGTTCAAATGGGATCAAATGGCACATCAATATATTTCTCAGACCACTGTCAAACAAAATACACTGGGTGGACGCAATACTGATATGTTTTTGAACGATGCAACCTTCGGACAATAGGTATTTTAGATTACCTGCAGGACCATCCTAGTCAGTTCTCTACCATAAAGAAGCACAACAAATGAAGATGGGACAGAAAAAGCATGTTAAGGCATCATGGAGAGAAGTCTGTTCTGTCAGTTCACGTGGTTAATGTACTTTGAGTTTTAGGCCCTGTTCAGACCTGGTTCTAACATCTGTCCTCAGAGATCTGATCAGTGGACATCGTTCATCTGTTCACACCTGATATTGAAATACGACCTGAATGCGTCTCCTGTGACCAGATCTCACTTCTTCACTCTATATGCAAATAATCATGTACATCATGCATTCACATAGACCAAATAATGTTTATCGATGTTTCCAGTGGCGATATTTGTTTGTTTATTTAGATTGTGGATTCAGGAGATGCTGAGATAGTGAGAAAAGTAAAACTACATTTGACTCATTGTGAAACTGTAGCAGGTCAGAGACATCAGCTGAGTAAGGGGTCCTTCATATGTGGCCCAGGATGGATTTATGAATTTATAAGAAGAATGTGGCCACATGTGTCCAAAACCATCTCAGGATGTCTGAGTGATCGTATCCCTCAGGACAGATGTTGATAGTCAGGTCTGAACGAGGTCTTAGATAGTTGTAGCAGGATAAGTAAAGCACGGAGAGAAACCTAAACACGTAATATCTGACATTAATCAAACTTTTCAACTTAAAGCATTGCATTATAAAAAGTAGCCATTTAAAGATATGACTTGGATTACACAGCAAACATGTTCCACAGCCAAAAGTAATGTAATATGCAAATTGTCTATATTATATTAATATTATTGTTTCAAAATATATTTATAATTCTTTGACAAGGATGAGTGAAAATTACCCACCTATGATAGTGTCTGCACCCATATCGTGCTGTTCCTTGTCTGGGGAGCAGAGGGACAGCTGTCCTTGCAGAAGCCTTTCTAAGGGCATGGAAATCGGCCTGTGGATAAGCGGGGGTCTGGGTTGGAGACGCTTCTCCACCCCTCCCTCCTTCCCTGACATGCCCTCTCCTCCGATCCCTGCCCCCATGCCATTCTTATGCTCTGATATTGATGCCACAGACTCTGATAGCAACATCTTGGTCTTCTTCCGTCCCTTCGCAGGGGCACTGGCCGTGCGCCGCAAGAGGTGATCGCTAAGGGAGCGTTTACGAAGTCCGCCAGAGTTTGTATCCACAGAGGACTTGGAAGAACGGTTAAACAAACCCCGGATACCTCGCAGCTGATGACCCTGAGGACAGAATAGACAAAGCGTGATTAAAATTTGAGCAGGGAAAGAAGAAATGTTGTTATTCACCATGGTGCTTTTCCTAACTCTTTTTACACATCACAGTTTCAGGCTTACTTTTCATTAACGATGAAAAGATACACCATGTATAACTTAGTTCACAGCAAATGTAACAGTTGCATGCTTTTACATGCATTACCTATAGATGGCAACCTTCTTCCTTACATTACCAAAACACACACCACACGAGGCTGCATGCTTATGTTGCAAATTATTCCATCTTTGTCGGTGAGAAAATGGACACAGTTGTGGGTAAAAAATATTAAGCAAACTGTATGACTCAGTGGTTTAATGTCACACACAAACAAGTCACTGAAGATATGGCTGACAGCGTTGCATCATGCGTTACTGTTTCATGCAGCACCACACACAGAGCCTACAGGGCATCAGGATACCTTGTTAGATCCTAGAAAGTGCATTATGGTAAAGCTGGGGTTCAGGACTAGAGGGCTCCACTAGAGAGACAAAGGATTGAAGGAGGATAGCTTCAGTGATCAGTGTGTTGAGAGAAACACATTTTCTTCTGTTTAACTTTGAAATATCAGGGGGGGAGGGGGGCAACAATATCACCAGGAATGTGCAGCGCTTACCTTCCCATAGACATCATGCACTGACACATGCACAAAGATGGACGCCTCGGTCAGCCCCTCCAAGTAAACATGTCTGTAACCTGTTGTTGGACATGGAGGGAGAAAGCATTGAAGCAAGGGAGTGTAGCACGATATTGGCTGTTGTCAGACTGGTGATTGTATAGTATTCGCCTGAGAGGAGGGCATCAGGAGTTCAGGGACAACAAAAAGAAGAACCCGCCAAGCCACAGGTCTTATTCAAAATAAACAAATCATGGTTCACTAGATGCAAGATAATGTGCCCCATAGCAATATCATGGCCAAAGCCACAAGGGAAATTGTGTTTTTAAACGTGTGTGTGTTGGCGAATCTGTCTATTTGTGTTAAATAGCAGAAGTGAAATGGATTCTAACTGCCGGTGACAAACTGTGTCCTCTCCTCAGTTCATGTCAGTCATGCAGCTACATTTCTATTATAAAGATAAAGCTCAGAAATTTTGCACAGACCAGTCATCAGGCTGCTGAAGGCAACAGTCCGTTGACCAATAAAATCTCGTCCAATGGGGTCGTGGTCCCAGACGAGGAAACGCACCAAAGCCACTTCCGCCATGTGGAGCGTGAAGGACAGAGTCTCCTCCCACACTGGGTTGAAACCTGAGGGAAACACACACATATATACTCAGCTTGATTAGGACCTGTCACATTATCAATGCCTCATTCAAGCACAAATGCACTGTAGATCACGCAAGATATTCAAAATAGAGCGAAAGATGGATGTGGAAGAAGCGACGTGTCAAATGTTGTATTTCATGGATCGATGCCTGGCACAGTAATCTTATAATAACGTTGAGCTCCCAGGGCTTCATAACCTTTCCCAGAGAAGGCTTTCCCCCCTCCTCATTCTGGATGCCCTCATCTGTGGAGAAATGTATGTGTGTGTGTGTGTGTGGGGGGGGGGGGGGGAGACACCAGCAGACCCCTCCCTCCAGCTTCCTTTAAGCATCTAATTAGTTAATCTGACTCTCAGAGTAAAAATGCTCCAGAGCACAAAGTAAGATACAGCATCTGTGGCCATGGCATTGTTTCATCTCTGCTCTGTTCTGTGCTCATCTCTCTCTCATCAAAGTGCTGAGGATACTACAGCTTCTGCTTTGGTTTGTGTGCTACACATGTAGTATGTATAGTGTATAATATAAAAATGTTATGGCAGTAGGCATGTGGAATTATTATAATAACAGAAAGTACAAATACGACTGAAATTCTGAATATGCCTCTGCCAACCAGTGCAGTTTCAGTCTACATACAATTTATTTTTCCGGACTTCTTTTAGTCCAAGTGAACCTTTGAACCAAATTTGAAAAAATTTCCTTAAGATGTTTTTAGATATTGTGTTCACAAAAATGGGACGGATGGACAGAGAACCTGAAGACATAATGCTACAAGCTACTGACTGTCGCTGGTACTGAGGCATACAAAGTGATACAGCATAAAAACAAGTACAATACCATAGTCATGAAAGTTTGCATCGATGCAAAACAACAATGAACAGGTCATTACATTATATCAAGGTAATATAAAATAAAATAAATAATATAGGAAATGCAAAGATACAGTCAACACATATTTCCATTGGAAGGTTTTAAAATCCTGAAATTGAATTAGATTGAACTGGATATTTTTCATCATTTCAGGTTTTGAAACTACCCAAAGAAAACTGAATCAGGAGCTGCATTGTATTGTAATGTTCATGTAGGAACTAGAAATCCCCTCTACCAACTTGTCACTAGTCCAAACTTATATCCAAGCATAATTGTGTCTAACCATTGTCATCAACAACTCGTGTCTGTTCCTTGCAGCAGTCGACTGGAAGCCCAATGATCTCCACTTCCACAAATGGATCGATAATCTGATGCAAGAGAAAGGGCAATAAAATCAATTTGTTGTTATTATATTATATTACAGCTGTGGGTTGACAAATGTGATATTGCATTCATGCGTGTGTATTTTTGTGTGATGCGAGAGAGAAAGACAGCTGGCGAGTGTAAGAAAAAAGGGGTTTTGTGCCTTGGCGTGTTTTATACCTCGCCACGGTCCCCCAGCATGGAGTCTGGTGGCTTGGGCAACTGCTGTCCACTAATGATCTTGAGAATGAGCTGCTTCTTGGGGTAAGCTGGAAGTGGGTCATCACTGAATGGGTTGAAGGAGCCTGGAGGGAAGGAACGACAGCAGAGAACTTTGATTTATGTCATCAATCAATCCTGAAAATCCAAGCACTCTGATTTTTGTTGTTCTGGTTTCCACACAGAATGTGCAAGAGTGGAAATAAGAGACATATTCTTGTTTTTGATACTGATTACATTGTGTTGTGAGAGTTGGGATCACATCCACTGGAAGGCACGGGTTGTGTTATTCTCAATAAATACTGCATCATTACAAGCTCTAGTATAAACTGCAGCAAGGCCATGAAAATCAACCATCCCTGTGATTTGCTGTGAAGCTAACTCAATAGTTGTTCAACAACATTGTTGCATGTGGTGGAAAACAAAAATTGAAAACCTATAAAAATTCTAGTGGAGATCCCAAAGAGAGCGAACAGTCACATTGAATGAAAAAGTCACCACTTTCTATTCCCTGAAACTGTCTCCATTTAATTCTTATTGAAAACAGAATTTATATTCAATGGAGCAAGCAGATACCGTATACACTGTGTGTGTGATATTTAATATTGTTAAAGAGAATAAGAGATGGATCATTGATTTTGTTCATTTATTTGTTTGTCTGATATATAATACAATATAGTATAACAACAATCATGTGTCAAATTCTCATTTCATAGAACATTATCTGTATTTCTCATGCTACGTTTAATCTACGTCCCATGTATATATTTCTGTGGTGAACAGATGAAAGCAATGGCAATGGCCTGGACCAAGTCTGACTGTGGTGGTACCTTTACACATGGGAGGGGGCTTCAGGACGTAGCCACTGCCTCCATTCACCATGAATTTGGCTCTGTTGAGCTGCATCATCCTGCCCTCCGTCTGGTAGTTCAGAGCAACTAGAAGAGAGAGAACTTTATATCAACACATACACTTTGCCATCTATTGATTAATCAGTTGATTCATTTTATTCACTAATTCAATTGTTATCTAGAAATTGGTGTAGAACACATAAACTGTGAAAATCCCTGGGGGTGCTCGATAGTGGCAGAAATCACAAATCGTATGAGAAGACTGATTTATCATTCTATGATTGTTTTTGGATGTGTTTTTGTATTTATCACATTTATGCTCCTCTTTGTTTTATTCATTGTT